ATTTCAAAGTAGCTATTTCTTTCATCTAATGCATATAAAAAGTTGTCCAATCAAATACAAGTTACATTCCAATCATTAAACTTGAATCTTTAATTTTATTTAAACTGTTTAATTTAATCGCTATGAAATTGCTTCATCGAATCGCATATTTTTTACTTCATAGTCGATTCAATTTAATCGCATTTTGGATCAATATTTATAGATTAATTAATCCATTCATTTATTTATAAATTGTTATATTTAATCAATTCTGCTCAATTTTGTAAATGATAACATTAAAACAAGAAAGAGATGGGACATGCAGTAAACTCTAATTTTAAAATCCTTATTTATTTACACCATCAAGTAGCAAAGATATAGGAATTTAATCGACTAATCAATTCCTTTGCGATTAGATAAATAAATATATACGCGATTAGATAAAGAAATATGTACGCGATTAGATAAATAAATATATACGCGATTAGATGAATAAATATGTACGCGATTAGATAAATGTATATATACGCGATTAGATAAATAAATATGTACGCGATTAGATAAATAAATATGTACGCGATTAGATAAATAAATATGTACGCGATTAGATGAATAGATATGTACGCGAATAGATAAATAAATATATAGCGATTAGATGAATAAATATGTACGCGAATAGATAAATAAATATATACGCGATTAGATGAATAAATATGTACGCGATTAAGTCGAAAAATAAACCAGTGCTAGATCTATTTCAAAGGTTTTATTTAATGACATAAAACTATTTAAAGTTTATTAGGCCTGCTTGAACTAAACAACCAAGCATTCCAATACCAGGCAGTTAAATTAAGGATATATGCCTTGAAATGCCCGGCATGCCACTGCATGCCGATGTTTAGCTAAAGGAATGCTGCCCAACAGCGTTCTTTTTGTACACGTAAATACTTGCTTAGAGAACCTTGCAAAATTAGTAGTATATAATTAAACTAACATGAATACGCATAATTAAAACAAATCTACGCATTACTAAAATGATTACGCAAAATTAGATGAATACTATCGGTATGATAATACAAATGGGGCATCATGATACGCTTAATTAGCGTAAAGATAAATATTCTACAGTTAAGAAATAATTAACTTTTAGATTTGAATGTTAAAACAAAAACAGAGGCACAAGAAAAAAAACTAAAAGAAATCGAAGAAGACAGCTGATTTTGAAGGTTATAGGGGGGGGG